AAGTTTCAGTTCCTTGCGAAATTGATGGCAACTAGTATTGCGAAGTTGCTTGACAACAATGTGGTGGATGAACTGTGCTCTGGTGAATTAAATGTGGCTTACTGTCGTGATCTGGAGTGGAAACTACCAACACCACCACCAACAACAACAAAGAACGACTTGAAGAAAAACTTAAAACATTCAGTAAAATTGTTCACAGAACCTCAAAACTGAGAGAAATTAAGCATATGGGCATTTGGAAGTACATTTGTAAGAAGAAAATTATGTTTTATATTCTGTCACTGTCACTGATGTGTAATTTCAGCCCTCGTAACACTTGTCCACACATGTATTCTGTCACTTGCCCACTCATGTATTCTGTCACTTGCCCACTCATGAATTCTGTAACATGCCCACTCATTTTATGTATCACTTGCTCACTCATGTATCATATCACTTGCTCACTCGTGTATTATGATACTTGCCCACTCATGTGTTATATCACTTGCTCACTCATGTATCATATTACTTGCTCACTCATGTATTCTGTCATTTGCCCACTCATGTATTCTGTCACTTGCCCACTGATGAATTATGTCACTTGCCCACTCATTTAATGAATCACTTGCTCACTCATGTATTATGATACTTGCCCACTCATATATTCTGTCACTTGCCCACTCATGTATTATATCACTTGATCACTCATGTATCATTTTACTTGCTCACTCATGTATTCTGTCACTTGCCCACTCATGTATTCTGTCACTTGCCCACTCATGTATTATAACACTTGCCCGCCCATGTATTATAACACTTGCCCGCCCATGTATTATATCACTTGCCCACTCATGTATTCTGTCACACGCCTACTCATGTATTAGAACATTTGTCCACCCATGTATTCTGTCACTTGCCCACTCATGTATTTTGTCACTTGCCCACTCATGTATTATATCACTTGCTCACTCACGTATTATATTACTTGCTCAATCATGAATAACGTCACTTGCTACTCTTGTTCCCTGTCACTTGTCCACTCATGTCTTCTGTCACTTGCCTACTGATGTATTACATTACTTGCCCACTCATGTATTATGTCACTTGCTCACTCATGTATAATGTCATTTGCCACTCACGTTCCCTGTCACTCGCTATCCCTCTCTCTGCCGTCACAATAAGTAAACCCTCGAAAAAATGAGCCAATCAATGGGCATGCTCTGTAGTGCGTGTAACTAATACCTGCACTCCAGTTAACGCTCTGTATACGATTTAACACTGACACATTTTCAACAGAAAGATCCCCAAACTATGACACAATAACCTTTTCATGTTTTGACCATGACTAGAATACTATTTCCAGTCTCACTTTTCCTGGCATGACTTACTTTGCTCCCACTTTTTCACTAACAATTCGATATGCACTTATTTCCTGCCCATAACACTCGCGAAAACACGCACTACAGACCATGCCTATTGATTGGCTCATTTTTTCGAGGGTTTACTTATTGTGACGGCAGAGAGAGGGATAGCGAGTGACAGGGAACGTGAGTGGCAAATGACATTATACATGAGTGAGCAAGTGACATAATACATGAGTGGGCAAGTAATGTAATACATCGGATAAATCTTAACACGAGTAAGTGACGATACCATCCACAAATAATGAGTTCACTTCAAAGCATTTTTTTATTCAAACTTAAATCGATCATTGTTAAAAATAATATTACAGTAGATATGCATAGTGGATGTAAAAGTTTTTCATACATTAATTGATCTGCACTGGTTTTAAGGGTAGCAGCAGGCTATGTGAACATTGTATACAGTATATTATCCGAATTATTTCCTGTTGTTATCTAGTCATATTTTGTAATTGGCATCTAGAAAGACATAAAACTTCTCCAGTTGGCATAAAGAGCAAACAATTATTTACACCATGTGAAATGAGTTATGCGTGCTCTATTTAAATTTTATTGCAAAAAGCATTCAAATTTGATACATATTTTTTTTTTGATGAACTAGCTAGAACAGTGTGTACAAGACACGTAAACTTATCCCCGCCCCCTGTCTCATACACATTTAACATTGTTTGACTTGGTTTAAGGTGCTGTAAATTTTGCCAGTTATTAGTCTAATATCATTGTAATTAAGATCTTTGGTAAGAAAAGAGTGGAATCCTAGTGGAAAATATACTTGTTATTGATGACTTTCGTAGTTTTCGAAATGTGAAGGATTTAGCATGTTGATAAATTGAAAACCATGTCCCTACTCTTTTTTTTTTTTCTTTTTTTGCATCATCTTGAGATCCTCCTGAAAGGTATGAGGCAAAGACTATAATGATTAAGACAAATAGCATATTAAATAAGAAAGAAGAGAGGGCCAAGTGCCGAGCCTCGGGGAATACGAGAATACTAGTACATGTATATAGGGACACATACCTCATAAAAACGGCTTGAATCACATTTTATCAGCTTATTTTCAATTTTCTATGTCACAAGAATATTAGTAAATGTCATTTGCCTACCAAATCGAAATTATTATACGGTATTAAGTCAACATAATCAAAACGGTGGTCAAGCCATCATTATCACGAAAAACAATTTCGTGGAAATGATCTTGATGAGGGACAAAGTATAATGTCTTCGTAGCCGTATGCGGCTATTCCTTTTTCAGTTTGGTCAGTTTACTAACCGTGTTGGAAATCCTGTCAGGTATCCGCCATTCATTGCACAATTCTGCGTTACTTTTTGCACGAATCGTGCGTTATTTTCACATTCCGGCGTTACTGTATATACACGGCTGAAATCACGGAGAATAAGATATGTCTGTTTAAATGTTGTTGACGAGGGTATCTGTTAGTTTCGTTAAGTTGTGTTTAGGTTGCCCTTTAAGGACATAAGCATATACTAGTACTTTGTTATAGCATGTGAAGATTGTTAACTTTTGCTTCGATCCATATATGGTTTTTCGGACCTGTTAAAACTTGACCGTTAATCTCACCCTGTGACATTTGGCACGTGATTGTATATAGCTCAGCACGGGGTCCGTACTCGACAGCGAAAGCTTTGCAATGTTCTGTAAAAACGATTTTCAATATACAGCGGAGGGGGTTATATCAAGGTTTAGAACTGTTCACTGTGTGCAGGGTACCTCAATAGGTAGAGCATTGGATTGTGAATCGGGTGATCCGGGTTCGATTCACGGACGGTGCATGTCACTTTCGTTATGATTGATCGTGAAATCCTTTCTACGGTCATTCATTCGCACTGTACCTATGCTCTGCTATGTACAGAAGTTATCAGTTCCTCTCGAAAGGGACTGCAATATTAATGGTTTAACAAAAATATAGAAGAGACTGTTATGATTTGGAAAGTTGGTTAGAAAATGAAATATTTAAGAAGTGTAATGTAGGAAATATAACGTCTTTGGTAATATATTATAAACAGTCCCATGTCATACGTTTTGGAGACAAAGATGTTATTTTAAATTGGCATTGTCACAGTGCGAATATTTAGTACGCAAAACCTTTTTTCCAGATTCATCCCCTAACTGGGGCAAACATTTACTTGAAAGAGTTCGTCGACAATTGACACCAGTAAATCTTGGCCAGGATTGTGATGATCCCGGAGTGTCTTGTGCATTAGGAAATGGAGGTCCCAGTGCTATATGTGGTCCAGTACCAATGGACGAGGTCAATAAGTGTCAGTGTCCCCCAATGTTCACTTCCAGACTTGAATGTTTACGTAAGTACATTTGTCATTACAAACTTAAAAAACTTTTTTGTTAAACCAAATAGTAAAAAACACTGTACACTTGAAAAATATATTTGGTCTTTGGCTGGATACTAATTATTATTTTACGTATAGGAAGTGGATTATATTTAGTAATTTGTCCAAGATTATGTTGCAATATATACAAGCTAGAGCTAAACGTTTTGGTAGTAAAATTATAGTATAAATGATAATTATGATAATAATAATAAACTACTTACAAGTAGCGCCCATTTTTTCCTGTAAAAAGTGCAATCTTCTAAAGTATACCATCTGTTTTTAGAGAATAGAATGATTTCATGAACAATTATCATAATAAAGCAGTTTTAAATATGTAGTCTTGCAATATTATAGGATTTCTCTCTCTTGATTTGTTATTTTGTCCCCAACATTTTGTTTCATCCAATTTTTGAGTATCTCCGAATATCACCCTGGTATCTCCGGAGCTGAGGCTAAAGTTAACGTCATATTCGTCAACACTTAACCACCATTAAAATTAGAAGTTATTTATAATGCAAATTATTTTTAGTGAATGTAAAGCTTTAAAGGCGTAGATACATGTTTAGTAGGTGATTGTAACTAGTGGTCTAAAATGAAAACGAGTTACTCATCATTCATAAGAGGTCATTAGATTTTTAAGAATAATGTTAAATGAATATCTTTCATTTTTTATTTCCAATGTCTGTTTTTAGAGTAAATGATTATATACAGTACCACACTGATGAATCTGTTACTAATGGTGTCACTTCTTTACCTTTTATATCAATTTATGCTTTATTTTTACAAAAGATATAAAAGTGTAAAAGCTATATATCTGACGAGATTTTATAAAGAATTAAAATCCGTAGAATTGATTTGGTTGAGAAGATTTGTAATAAAAGAATGTCTATGCAATTTATTATACAAATGTTCCGCAACAAAATGTTTGGTTGTGATTTTTAGTAGGGTTACCGATGATTACGTTCATGTCCTATTCGCTGTCAATAAACTGTACCAAATCATTTTAATCACAATACAAACAATAATTTCATAATCCACAGACAGAAAATATATAGCTATATACTCTTTTAGTTTACATCTTTTTTATTTCTGGTATAAAGACACTATATATATATAACATTTCAACTTTTTAGACAAAATGTTATTTATCACCAAACTTTAGGTAGTTTGGGATATGTTACATGACAATAATGTTATTCAAAAGATAACATGTCTAATTTGTTGTTGTTGTTATTGTTGAAAAACACAATGTAACGCAAAAAATTAAAATAGTTATGGTTTACTTTGTGTTGAAATTTGATAATTGTCAGAATTACGGTTTCGTATAAATATTGTAAGGCTTCCACGCTTTTTTCGGTAAATCACAACTGCGTCATCTTGGCAATAGATCCCAGAACTGACGTAACGTCATATGGCCTTGAATTTGTAGTGATGTTCCATACAAAAAAAAATTAAAAATCCTAAGGCTAAAACGCATTTACAAAAATCACCATTTTGCAACTGTTATTTTTCAACCATCAACGGTTTACACGTAATCAAAGTTCAGATTAAAATCAAATTTCAGTTAAACTTACACAATAAATTTATGCCTGTACTTTGCTTAAAAAGATATACAAATGGATGTGCACACACAGTATTTTATCAAAACGGCGTGTCAATCATTATATTAAATTCCGATTGATGTATCATTCCCAGAACTTCTGGAAACCCAAAAAGTTGCGATTGCAATATCAAAACAATCACGTGGCATAATGCAATTATCATTGGTGTTATAATATCAATCATTGACATTGTTAAAGGGAAATGTGTGAGCTGAATACATTAATGAATTACCTTTTGAATTATATTTTAGAACCATGTACCACTAACGCCGACTGTCCTACTAACTCTGTTTGCAACGTGCGCTGTTCACCACCATGTTCACCAAGACGTAAGAATTTTTAAAAGATGTCTATTTTTATAACGAGCGTAGAACATATTTTATTGGTTGGTCGCAATTCTCAAGTTTGCCAAAATGTTCCAATTTTCTGTTGTTGTTTTTCTTCTTCTTGATTTGTAAAGACTTACGATGGTTTAAAATGGAGATTATTTTACTATAATTATCAGCAAAAAAATATTGTAATTATCAGCTTAAAATACAACGGTTTAGCAACAAAAGCTGCTATAATTTATGTACAGATCATTTACTTGTGATTGAAAGCTAAAACGAGTATCTATTTATTACAAGTACAAGTTATAGTCAACAAAAATCATGACATTTATGATAAACTCAAGATATTTTCACTGTTTGTTTCTCTCGTGTTTGTAGTCTGTATCAATGGACAGTGTCCGCCACCAGCGGTGTGCAATGCCAACAATATTTGCCAGGAACCATGTATTTACCCACCTGGATTTACACCCCCAGTATTTCCTCCTGGATTTCCGTTTCCACCTGGATTCCCGCCTGGATGTAATGATTTTTTTATATGTATCATTCTTCAATATTTAACGAACATTTTACATATCTTGTCAGCTTGCTTTCATATCTTTATAAAAATGATATATGATCTATCCTAATTAAAATAAAAAATGAAAAGATTTCGACTAAGTATGAACTGTAACATTCTTTTACGTCGCAATAGTAACAAGGGTTACAGACTCTTTTTTTTCAGAATTGAAAAATCTCACTTCCTATATTGATATCATTATAAGGCATTTTTTATTGTTATCAATCGATCTGGTATATATAAACATTATCATTGCATTGATATCCCAAAGAAATTGGCAGTTTTCGAGGATAAGTGTGTTTGTTTGTATTGGTTGTCGTAATCATAATTCGAACACAAGGATTTAGAGCAAGCGCAATGGTGAAGTGTACTATCATTGTTTGGCACAGGGCTAGATGTTGCAAATTCGAATCCACTACTAGTATTCCAAATAAGTTTTTCTTAACTTTTCATAGCTTAACAAGTTCTTTCAAATTGTTTATTGGAAATTTGCGTATATAAATGTACGTTAAAGGTATTCTCACCAATACTTGTGTGGAGTGAGTTGTTCATATAAGCTAAAAGTTTGGACTATGACAAAATATTTTTTAAAACAAGATACGATAGGGCTGCAAAGTCTACAGAAAACAAGTGGCTAGTTCTTAAATAATCAAAATCTTTATTTGAATCAATTAATACCATTCTTTTATCTTGTTTTATTATTGATATTATGAACATGTGATACATGTTTATTTGAACGACTTTAGTTCAAGGAAGAAAAAAACGATCGATCGGTTCATCTGTAAGATTAAGGTGTACAGAACCCAATGGTCAAGTTTGTAAAAATGATCTTAACGCATTGTGTCAGAACGGAGTGTGTGAGTGTAAATCTGGTTCATCACTGATCAACGGATTGTGTATAATAGGTAAAATGTTTGATTATGTATTAGTGTTTAACATATTACACCATGTTTGATTATGTATTAGTGTTTTAACATGTAACACCATGCTTGATTGTGTGTTAGTGTTTTAACATGTAACACCATGTTTGATTGTGTGTTAGTGTTTTAACATGTAACACCATGTTTGATTGTGTGTTAGTGTTTTAACATGTAACACCATGTTTGATTGTGTGTTAGTGTTTTAACATGTAACACCATGTTTGATTGTGTGTTAGTGTTTCAACATGTAACACCATGTTTGATTGTGAGTTAGTGTTTTAACATGTTACACCATGTTTGATTATGAGTTAGTGTTTTAACATGTAACACCATGTTTGATTGTGTGTTAGTGTTTTAACATGTAACACCATGTTTGATTGTGTGTTAGTGTTTTAACATGTAACACCATGTTTGATTGTGTGTTAGTGTTTTAACATGTTACACCATGTTTGATTGTGTGTTAGTGTTTTAACATGTAACACCATGTTTGATTGTGTGTTAGTGTTTTAACATGTAACACCATGTTTGATTGTGTGTTAGTGTTTTAACATGTAACACCATGTTTGATTGTGTGTTAGTGTTTTAACATGTTACACCATGTTTGATTGTGTGTTAGTGTTTTAACATGTAACACCATGTTTGATTGTGTGTTAGTGTTTTAACATGTAACACCATGTTTGATTGTGTGTTAGTGTTTTAACATGTAACACCATGCTTGATTGTTAACATGTAACACCATGTTTGATTGTGTATTAGTGTTTTAACATGTAACACCATGTTTGAGTGTGTGTTAGTGTTTTAACATGTAACACCATCTTTGATTGTGTGTTAGTGTTTTAACATGTAACACCATGTTTGATTGTGTGTTAGTGTTTTAACATGTAACACCATGTTTGATTGTGTGTTAGTGTTTTAACATGTTACACCATCTATGATTGTGTGTTAGTGTTTTAACATGTAACACCATGTTTTGATTGTGTGTTAGTGTTTTAACATGTAACACCATGTTTGATTGTGTGTTAGTGTTTTAACATGTAACACCATGTTTGACTGTGTGTTAGTGTTTTAACATGTTACACCATGTTTGACTGTGTGTTAGTGTTTTAACATGTTACACCATGTTTGACTGTGAGTTAGTGTTTTAACATGTTACACCATGATTGACTGTGTGTTAGTGTTTTAACATGTTACACCATGTTTGATTGTGTGTTAGTGTTTTAACATGTAACACCATGTTTGATTGTGTGTTAGTGTTTTAACATGTTACACCATGTTTGATTGTGTGTTAGTGTTTTAACATGTAACACCATGTTTGATTGTGTGTTAGTGTTTTAACATGTTACACCATATTTGACTGTGTGTTAGTGTTTTAACATGTTACACCATGTTTGATTGTGAGTTAGTGTTTTAACATGTTACACCATGATTGATTGTGTGTTAGTGTTTTAACATGTTACACCATGTTTGATTGTGTGTTAATGTTTAAACATGTAAAAAATGACAAAAAATCTTCGAAAACTAAACAAATACTTTCGGAAACGAAGACAAACATCTGGGTTATGAAAAATTTAAGTGTCTTCTTTATTTGCCTAAAAACTATGAAAGCGGGACTGAAACTTTGTATATCTGCTGGAGGTAAATACTTTGAGGGAACAAAATATAAAAAAATCAATAAATCTATGGAGAATCAAATTTTACGTGCTTAAATGCATTAACAATTAACAATCGTTAAATGCATTCGTATTTGAACATTCCTTGTAATGAAAAAGTTTATTTTCGAATATATACATGTAAAACATAATTATTATCATTATTTCTTAGAATTTTGTTGTTGCTAGGTAATATATAAATATCTATTTGTTTTTCTTTGTAAAGCAGGTTTCAAATTAAAACTAAAACATTGAAATTGAGTGCACGTATGAAATAACACAATTATCGCCAAGGTGTTGTGGTTCCATAAAAGTTGCTTTTGTCTGGGGAAAGCTGAAATTTTCTGGTTACTTCTAGAAATGATGAAATTAAAAAAAGAATGAAACACACTAATTTCATGCTTCTAGTTTCTTTTTCCATTTTAACTATTATTTATGAGATTTTCAACCTATAGATGGTTCAGCTGGTGGGCGGTGTGACGGGGGAGGACGTGACAAGTGTAGCAAAGACTTGAAAGCTGAATGTAAGAACCCCGGTACCTCTAACTGTATATGCGAATGTAAACAGGGCACATCTAAAGTAAATGGATTGTGTATGACAAGTAAGTTGAATGAAGATTATATATATCTAAAATTCGTCAATGAAATAAATAAAACTTACAAAATATAAAGTGCGCGCGTAAGATATCTAGGATACTACTATTTATTTGGCTTCAACAACAACACTCATTTGTCAGAATTGTTATGTCTTTGTGTCAGAGACCTCTAAACTAAAGTTTTAACACCATGTTTGATCGTGTTAAAGGTGTAATTTACTGGAAATGATACACACCATGTATATCTGATATTTAAAATCTATTACTAACAATATCTGTCAATTGTCATACAAACGTTAGGAATAATAAGCAATGTGAAGTCCATTCTTTCCTGAATAAAAAAAATTGTAGCTAATTCCCCAAAAGAAATTGATGGTCCACACTGTATTTTATTAACAAATTGTTAAAGTACATAGGAAGCGGTTCCATGTATCATTTATTATAAAGTAACGCTGAAGGTAAAATTAAAATGACCTATTGTCACATATATACTCGGTTCCAAAAGAAAGTGTGCACTTTTTAATGTTGAATATTTAGAAAATTAGCAGACGTTTCTTTTTCAAATTTGGCATTGTTAGTCCTATGTACACAATACATCGATCCAATATAAAACCCATCGGGTTATATTCTCAGATGAGTCTAGGTTTAACCTTAGTCATCATGACGGTCGAATTCGAGTTTTTAGAAGAAGACAAAAATCGCCGAAAACAAAGTGCACACTTTTTTTTGGAACCTAGTATATATATATATACAGCTATGTTAGTTTCAACATTTGTGCATTTATACTTTCTTTAAGATGGCCGTGCTGGAGGAAGATGCGACGATAATAATGAAAAATGTCCTAAAGACAGAAATGCTGTATGTCAAAATCCCCGCACTGGATTAAGTTTGTGTATTTGCAAGCCTGGGACAACACTAAATAATGGGATGTGCATCACTGGTAATATATTTAGTTTCACTTTGCTCACCACACATAAATATAGTCCTGCTCATAACTCAAAATATCCCAAACTTTAACTCAAGTTTGCATCCTTGAACTTGTCACGGTGTATGATAAGTACTGTGTCTGCATGTTTTAGTTCAACATTACAATGTGGAATTAAACACCATCAGTTGTGTTTAAAAGTTACTATTGAAATGAAATAAGAAATACAACCAGACAGATTTACACAGATAACTCTCTATAAATATAAGTATTTGTTAAGTTGCGGAATACTTTAAAGTTAATACAAAATAGAAACAAAAAGGCAAAAAAAATACCTTATACCCTGGCTGGAACAACTTTGAAGTTTGTAATGTAATGGCCTGATCGGGAACAGATTCGACTGATTTAGATTCACAAGATTGTTGAGAATGATAAAATGTATCTACAGATTTGATAAAAACGTTTATTTGTCAAAAACATAAATTATAATTTTAAATAATTTTACAGATGGAACATGCCTTGGACGATGTATTGATGGCGATGAAAAGTGTCCGAATGACCCACAGACGGAATGTATTAACGGACTGTGCCTGTGCCGTGAAGGTTCGTCCAAGGTCAGCGGAATGTGTATGAGAAGTAGGTTTATCGTAATTGTTTAACTTTCTACATGAGATTTTATTTTTATATATAGTCTTAAATCAAACAAGTCTAGGAAAATCTTACTTGGTCAAAAAAAGTTTATGTAGTTGTTAGTTATAAAAGCATTTCGATTTCAAAATAGATGATATTGTTGTCAGCTTAGCCTGGTTGTGTTTAAGAACACCTTTACGCCTTCACATGTTTGATATTCTGTTTTGGACTTACAGATTTACAATTTAGCTTGGTAATACGTTGTACGTATATGACCTGGCGGCTTGACTCCGCAAATGAACAGCCCATAGTATAACAGAAACACTAATGGAAACAATGATGTTTTATTTCAGATGGTGCTCCTGGTGGAAGATGTCAAGATGGTATATGTGATAAAGACCCTAATTCTGAATGTATCAACGGTGTATGTTTGTGTCAACCAGGGTCTTCCAGACAACAAGGAGAAAATTGTATCCCAGGTAAATGATAAATACGATAGCAGAGAAATTTTGGAGATGTTTGTCACCCCCATTTATAGGTTGCTCTTTCACAGTTTGGTAATAATCTATTTGATGAGAGCCTTCGATACCTCCATTGTAGATACTTCCGTTGTAGAGACGGCCAAAAAAATGAAAAAAAGTAAACGCAGTTTCTAAAAATATCCGTATTAAAGAATATGCTTGTTTTTCAAAAGTCGAATAATACTTTGCCACGTAGAAAACATTTGGTAAAAATTCTAGCAACGACATTTTGGGATATTTCGTACTGCATCCAAAAAGATAAGAAAAATGTTCTACATGGCACAGTATTCTTCGATAAACGTAAGTTAACGGACATCTTACTGTAACTCCAATATCAAATATATATTTATTTATCATAGACGGAATGCCGGATGGGAACTGCACGAGTATGGGAATGTGTCCGGGGGACATGATGTGTGACTGTAACAATGCTCATTTCTGTCGGTGCAAGAGTGGAACTCAGAGAATCGGTCGTGGGTGTGAAGGGGGTAAATAGATTTATGAACATTGTTATAAAAGTGAGGAAATCTCAATGGTACTGCCCTCTGTTATTTCTTATTTCGGAATATATCTGCCATTTTAAAATATATAACTGATGTAACAACATGAAAAAAAACAAAAATACTAATGGATTCATGTTTCAACTTTTATCATATACATTTAGATTACTTGTATGAACTTTTCAGATGGACTTCAAGGCGGAAGTTGCTATTTTGGGAAATGTTACGGACGATATGCACAATGTGACCCAAAAACTTACACGTGTTTCTGCATCCCCGGTGCAATACCTTTGTACGGTCATTGTATAGATGCGCGTAAGAATCCATTTATTATATTACCTATATATTGGTCATAACGGCATTATTATTAGATCATAAGTTTTTCTTATATATCTTCGTTTTGCATATAAGTGTACTATGCTTGAAATAAATGATGAAAATAATAAAAAAAAACACACAAAAAACAACAAATAAACCAACATCTCTATATAAAGTAACATTTATAAATTATGTCTTATTAAGTTATTATCTAATTATTCGAAGTTTTCACAATGTATAGTAAATATATACCAAAATTTCGTAAAACCTTAGTGGTAAATTAGATTTTTCAAATGTTTACCAATACATGTATTTTGTAATTCTGTGCATCACGGTAACACGATAATGATATTCTGTACCACTCATTAACATGGCAACATTATTCTTAATAATAATAAACATAGTTGCGTTATTGTGTACATCCCTTAAGTATGGCTACATTTCTCTATACATCTCATAAACATAGTATGTCTACGTTGTTATTTACATCTCATAAACATAGTATGTCTACGTTGTTATTTACATCTCATAAACATAGTATGTCTACGTTATTATTTACATCTCATAAACATAGTATGTCTACGTTATTATTTACATCTCATAAACATAGTATGTCTACGTTGTTATTTACATCTCATAAACATAGTATGTCTACGTTGTTATTTACATCTCATAAACATAGTATGTCTACGTTATTATTTACATCTCATAAACATAGTATGTCTACGTTGTTATTTACATCTCATAAACATAGTATGTCTACGTTGTTATTTACATCTCATAAACATATGATGTCTACGTTATTATTTACATCTCATAAACGTTATTATTTACATCTCATAAACATAGTATGTCTACGTTGTTATTTACATCTCATAAACATAGTATGTCTACGTTGTTATTTACATCTCATAAACATAGTATGTCTACGTTGTTATTATTTACATCTCATAAACATAGTATGTCTACGTTGTTATTTACATCTCATAAACATAGTATGTCTACGTTGTTATTTACATCTCATAAACATAGTATGTCTACGTTGTTATTTACATCTCATAAACATAGTATGTCTACGTTGTTATTTACATCTCATAAACATAGTATGTCTACGTTGTTATTTACATCTCATAAACATAGTATGTCTACGTTGTTATTTACATCTCATAAACATAGTATGTCTACGTTGTTATTTACATCTCATAAACATAGTATGTCTACGTTATTATTTACATCTCATAAACATAGTATGTCTACGTTGTTATTTACATCTCATAAACATAGTATGTCTACGTTATTATTTACATCTCATAAACATAGTATGTCTACGTTGTTATTTACATCTCATTAACATGGCCATGATTTTCTGCACATGTTACAAATATGGGCACATATTCTGTGTACGTCTCGTTAACTCGGTAACATAATTCTGTACATGTGATGGCTTTGTTATTATGTACATCACATGAACATGGCTACATAATGTTGTACATCTCATCATACATGGCTACGTTATTCTGTACATCTCATTAACTCGGACATGGTAACACTATTCTGTACATCGTATGAACATGGCTGCACAATGTTGTACATCTTATTTACGTGGGTACATAAGAATATTTATGCGGTTTGTCCATGATTACATTTTTTCTGCATATTAATGACATAAAGAATTGAACTGATTTTTACTAGTAATCTTTGTATTACTTTATTTAAGGTGCACTTTTTGTATTTGTATACCTTTAAGTTTACCGTAGGTTTTAATGCTATACAAAACAAATATACATGTACATATGTTAATGATATTTTAAATGATTTTTACTTCAGGTTACTTGCAGTATCTGCAATCAAAGAAAAAATTCCGAAAAATAAAAGGAATAAAAAAAAAAAAAAAAGTGGTAACAAAAAGTTTCAAAAAGGGACTTTCCATTACAAAAAAAAAAAAAATTTTACAGGAATTTTTTAATAACAGAACACAAAAAGGGAAGTTTTTTTATTGCACTTTTTAAAATTTGGGGTTTTCATTTTTAACACCAGTTAAAAACATAAGTAACCAGTGAAACGGACAATAATTTTAATTAACTTCAGTGTTTTGTTATTTTTAATATTTAAAATTTCAAATTGAAGGTTTTATTTTAATATAAACTGTCTTATCTAACAAAAATATATTTAAAAAAGATTAAAAATAAATATTCTTTTTGGGCAGTATTTTCAAACACAAAATTTGGGAAACCGTATGCTTGTGTTTTTTGAAAACCCCCCCTGAAACCCCACAATGTTTTGGGGCAAACTTTTGTTTTCGGGAAATTTTTGCACCTGTAAACTTTTGCGGGAAAGTTCGGTTTAGGAACTTAAAAAATTTGCAAATTATTTTTTATTTATTGATAAAAAACTTAAAAAGGTTTTTTAACTTTGTAAGCGTGTAAAAACCCGAAAGGTTTGGGGAAAAATAAAAAGGGGTTTTGTTCAAATAACGCAAGGTTTTGTCCCATTTTGGGGGCCCAAAAACCGGCAAAAAAGGGGAAAGAAAATAAAAACCAATTTTAATTTTCAACTATATATTGTAAAATAAAAATTGAAAAAAAATGTATTAGTGCATACGGTTTTCTGTTTTACATTATACTTAAAACCTCGTCAAAAATTTTTTCCTTTAAAAAGTATTCTTTTTGGAAAGATCTTTTCCGTGAAAATTTGACAAACCTGACTAGTGTAATGATGTTTCCCTTTTTTGAAGTTCGTCGATGTCAAAAATTTCCCAAAAAATAATTTTTATATCAGGGTTTTTTGGGAAATTCAGTGTCCCAAAAGCCCATTTGCCAAAATTTACCCCGTGACATATTACAAAAAAAAATTTAGAAAATTAAAAAATGGGGGATGAGAGAAAACGCCAAATTTCCCGTGAATGATGCACCAAAGGCCACGTGCTTTTTTGCAAATTTAAAAAGTAGCATAATCTTATTTTTACCTGCTTTCCTTCTAGTGAAAAACACATTTTAATAGTTTGGCAAATTTTTTAAGGTTTTACTAAAGGGGAAAAGTTTTAAATTAAAATGAAATTAATAAAAACCTTGTTTTTTCCGTCAAAACCAAAAAAGTCCCCTTAAAAAACTTTAGGTCATGTTGTCATTCTCACAAATGATCTAAAAAAAAGAAAACCCGGGCTTTTCCTTTTGGCAAAAATTTTAATGCAGGTTAAAAGAAAAATGCCCTTAGTACCGTTTTTGCTTTTTTTTTAAATTTTTGAAAATAGGAAAAAAATTTAATTTCTGTTTACTTTACCGTGTCCATTTCGTTTTGGCCAAAAAATGTTACCAGATTCGGTTTTTTGCCCCATCCCTCCCTTTTAAATTGGATATACACCGTAAATTTAGAATTTTGGTATATATAAAAATATGTTACACCTTTGTTTTCTTTAAGGGAATAAATTTTTAACCCCCGGCCCCGGGGTTTAAGATAGGGTTTTAAAATTTTTAGAAAATAATGAAAAAATGAGTTTTATTAGATCAAATGTTTAAATGCATGTTGATGCTAATCATCAAAAGGGAAAAGTGGGGCTGGTATGTAAAAATTGTCATAAAAAAGTGAAAATTAAAGTAGTTTTCTTAAATTTTCCATAAAAAATTTTTGAATATTTGTACTTACAATTTTTTAAAAAAGATTTTAAAGAGGCCCCCGTTTTACATGAAGCATAAAATTGGGGCTAGGTATATATTTTGGGACTTTCAAAACTAACTTTACAACAGAAAATTAAATTAAAAGACATAAAAGGGAAAAGCCTTGTTTTATGGGGTCAAAAAAAAAATTTTTTGGGTAATTTTGTTTTCGCCATAAAAACCAAAAAAAAATTTCACAAAAAAAAAAAATAAAACCAGGGTTTTAGGGTTTCAAATTTCCTTTGCTGGGTTTTTCGAATTTTTTTCATCGATTTAGGTATGTGGGCTTTCCCCAAAATTTGAATGCTTATTTTGGGTCCCCTTTAAAAACAGCCCTATGTTGGGGCTTTAACCTTTCCAATTTTTGTTTTCGTTTTAATTTTGAAGGGGGGGCCCCGGTTTCCGGGTTTTGGGGGCCCTGCCCACATCTTTTAAATTATTTGAAAAAATTTTGTGCAAAGAAAATTCCAAAACCCCCTTGTTTCAATAAAGTTAGGGGACGGGAAAACCAAAATATACCCAAAATGCGGGATGATAAAAAAGCTTTGACCCCCCCAAGGGTGTGACCTTGACTTTTGGAAGTAGGGGGTCTTAAGTGTACAGACTTGTTAAAGGCGTGTATTTGACCCTTTGTGAACAAAACTTTTTTGGGGACGGCTTTATTAAATGTTTCCAATTAAGTTTCTCCCAAATTTTAAATTGATACAGTTATTTTAAAGTAGCATTAGAGGCAGGGGAAAAAGAAATAACCCAAACAAAAAAACTTAGATTTAGAAAAGTTCTAATATATATATCTTTTGGAAACTTTACAAGAAAAATTTTTAAAATTTTTAAATTTTAATTCTATTACAAAAATTTGGAGGGAAATTTAAATTACACATAAACACTTTGAAGATATGTATAAATTTTTTGTGAAAAAATTTAAAATAAAGGGCCCTTTATGTCAAAAATTAATCATAAAATAAAACTTTCGAAAAATCATTAACAAAATATACCTTCCAATGCAGAAAAAAACCTCTTATTTTCCCAAAAAAAAGTTTTCCTAGCAAAAACAATATAGTACAATAATATTTTTTTTTTTTTTTGGGAACATTTTCTAAGAATAAAAATCTTTTAAACAATGTTTATATTTTTTGTATTTAAATACCCAAAAAAATTTATTTTTTCATTTTTTAAAGTTTAATTTTTTTATATGTTAAAAAAAAATTTTTTTTTTAACTCTTAGCCAAGCTGATAGAAAATCTCGAGTGCGGGCCAAAAATTCACATGACTTTAGGGGAACTGTTATCAGGGGTCGGGCACTTTTGCTATGTTTTTTCCCAAAAAAACTATGAAAAGGGTTTTTGCCCAAAATTTGAAAGAGGGACTATTTTAAATTTTTTATAAACATCAGATTCTAAATTAAAATTTTTGTTTAGTGTCTGAAAATTTTTTTTGTCCAATGGGAAATTGCAGTATTTAAAAAATTAAATCGTAAAAAATTTTTCTTAAAATTTAAAATTGGGCTAACTGTTTAACCCCGTCTTGTAAAAGACGTTTATAAAAAAAAAATTTTAAAAAACAAAGGTGGTTAAAATTTATTAGTAAAGGGGATTTACCAAAAAATTAAATTTTTGGTTTCCTTTGGGGGAGTGCCCCCACCAAATTTTTAAATTTTTCAAAAAAGTACTAATAACCCTTAAAAATATAAACCCGATTTTTTTGGTTTTCGGGGTTCAGAAAATTTTCAAAAAACTAATGTAGACAAAAATTTAAAATTTCCCCCAAAAGTGAGTTGACCAAACCATATAAAAAAATATATGCAGTTTAAAAAATAAAAATTTCCAAAAAAAAAAAAGGGGTTAAAAGAAAAAAAAGAAAATAAAAAAAAAAGTTGGTTTTTTTAATGCGTAATTTTAATTGGGGAATATTTATAAGGGGAAAATTTTGAAAAAACAAAAAATTGTCAAAACTTATCAATTTTAAAAAGGGGTAAAAATTTTAAAAAAAATAGGAAATCACCAAATTTTTAACTAAAATTTTATGAGGCTGATGGACAAAAAAAAAAACTGGTAAAAATTTTTTTTTATATTGGGGAAAAGGGAAGTTAAATTTCTGTCAATTTAAATTTTAAAAGGAAAATGAAGCTGTAACTTTTTTTATGGGGGTAGATAAAGAAAATTTAACATTTATATTTTTAAAACAAAGTATAATTTTGTTATTTTGAAAAAACTAATTTTTCAAAAACCCTGGGCAAATATTTAAATTTGTCCTGTTTTATTTATGAAAAGGGAAACCATAGTTTTTCGGAAATAGTTTTTTTGGTTAAAATTTTCCCCTCAAAATTTAAAAATTTTTTACACAATCAACACAAACCCCTCTGTTTTTACATTTGGATTTAAATTAAAAAATGGGGTAAAAACCCTTGCCAAAAATGTTTTAATTTTTTAAAAAAAAAAAGGGGATTTAAAATATGCTTTTTTTTTAAAGGGGGTTTATGGCCCTGATCGCTCACCTGAATTATCAAAAATCATTTCCCAAAAAATTACCTAGACAAGCCCTTCTTCCAAACCTTTATGACAGGTGAGTCAAAAATGTGACCACTACAGGTTTTAAAAAAGGATTATCATAAATTTTAGCAGTGCGACCTAGTTTTTTAAAACCCCGGTGGCACATATTCCCAAAATTGACCTAAATTCATTTAAAAAAACCCTTTTAAAAGGGCCAATTTCCAGGAAACTTGGATCAAAAAGTAAGCAAAATAAATTTTTAACCAAAAATTTTTTTTTTACTCCCGGGGACCCAGTTTCACATGCGATTTCGAACCCCTTTTTAATTTCCCAAACAATTACCTAAAACAAACATCGCTGGGCCAAATTTGATGATAATTTAGTGAAAAAAATGACCCACTAAGGGAAAGTTAACCAAAGGGTTTTTCCCTATTTGGGCGGTTTTGACTATTTTTTTATCCAAAAATGACCCCCTGGGTTTGATCTTGACTTAAAAAAAAAAAAACAAACTTTTTAGACCAATTAACCCGGAAAATTTGGAAACACCCAAAAGTAGGGCCCCTTTAAATTTTTAAAAAAGATTTTTTCATTTTTTGGGTCCTGTGACCTTTGTTTTTTTATCCGAAATGTCCCTTTTTCGATTTTTTCCCCCGCCCAAAGGAACCCAGACAAGTTTCCTGACCAAATTTGATGACAATTTAGTCAAAAAATT